ATTTCTTTTGTTGTTTCAAAAGAATATCCCAAGGTTAATTAATGGGTCAATGTTAAGAATAATATGGGTCTTAAAGACAAAATTTTGTGACCACTTTAGTATCTTAGAAGATGGAAAGCATATGAAAGGACAGGGTTACTAAATTCCATTTTGCTTTAACAATAAAAAACCAGTACCATGGGACATTTGATTTTAAAAAACCATTAGTAAAAAATATTGAGAATCAGAGCCCCTTTCATTTTGTTGTCAGTCACAGTTTAACTTACCCTTCCCCGACTTTCTCATACATCACGCATGGAACAGGTACTACACTTCAAAAATCTTTCTGATCAAAGAACTGATGTTGGCTGGCCATGGTGGCTCACTCCTGAAACCTCAGCACATTAGAAGGATCGCTTGAAGCCAGGAGTTTGAGACCAGCCAGTCCAACATAGTGAGATCCCCTCTCCAAAAAACATGTTTAAAAATTAGCCAGGCATGGTGGTGCATGGCTGCAGTCCAGCTACTTGGGTGGCTGAGGAAGGAAGACTGCTTGAGCTTAGAAGTTTGAGGTTACACTGTATGATCGTGCTGTTGCATGCCAGCCTGTATGACAGAGTGAGACCTTGTCTTGAAAAAAAAAAAAAGAAAAATAAAAAGAAAGAACTCATGTCATTTTTACAGTGATTGGAAACTGAATTCAAAAGCACTTCTTTCTCGGTATAGAAACACTCTTGCATTATGAGTTCTTTCTAACGTGGCTGACTATCCTTAGCCACCATATTTAGTCTCTAGCATGTTCAGATTTTTCTTAACTGTAGGTGAGACCAAGGAAAAAATATCTTTCCTAAAAAGACTGTCTTTGCTATATTAAATCACAAGAACATACTAAAGATACTGAATTTCATTTAGAATTAGAAAAATTAATAATTCTTTAAAAATTCCTATAAACTGTTATCTCCAAGGGATGAGTATCAAGAAATTCACAGCTTTCCTTTGTCACTTGCCTAGTTTACAATACTTTTCAAAAGTCTGTGTAACTTGCCATTTCTACTTATGCTTTGGGATTTAAAGATCAGAACTGTTTATTTATGAATTTTAACCACAGCGGAATCATTCCAAAGTTGCTGATTTAGGGTCTAAATGTGTTGAGTATTCAACATGTGCGTGAATTGTTCTCTAAGTCATTTAAATCACACAGACTTGTTTTTGCACAGGGAATGGAAGCATATTGCTGGGCTGAAAGTCTTTTTCTCAGGAAGCAAGAGAACAAAAATAACTCAAGAACAGAGATGAGAGGGGAGATTTTTTAATATGGAGGAATCTTCAACCTCAAATTATGAAATGCCCTTTAAGAGGACAAAAGAGAATTTAATGGAGAAGGAAATGGGCTAGTAAAAGAAGATAATGATCAAGAAGTGTGAAAAAATGACAGAGAATATTTGCATGTATTTGGAAACTCCTTGATTTAATGAAGCGATATCCAAATGAGAAGTCTGAAGTCTTTATATAACAAAATTGTCACAGTAACATGCTAAGAGGTGGCAGAGCATCTGTGCTTTGAAGTCACACAAAGACTCCAATGTTAGTGCCACTGTTTGGCTATGTAACCTTCAGCTAGTTAAATAATGTCTCCAAACCTCAGTTTCTTCATCTGTGAAATGGGGACATCAATTGCATCTGTCTCTGTAGGACTATAATGAAAGTAAATGCTTAGCTGGTAAATGTGTGATAACTATTAAGATAATGATTTTTTTTTTAAAGCCTAACTGAAAAATAAGTTCTAGGAAGAAAATATATTACATATTTTACAGTGATGACCCTGGAGTCCTATTTTTATAACAGTGTGGTACCTAAATTTTCAAACTCACCCTATTGTACACATTTTTAACCAGCACAATGGTTCAGTTTACTGGTGGTTGTCTGCAAATATCTTTTTTAAAAAAATATCACTTATAGAAAATGAAGAGCTTGTGACAAAATAAGTTGATAATTCTGGGCCGAGTACTCTTGTTACTAGGTTTTGAGAAGTATAAGATATAACTGAGATTGAATGGGTATAATAAATATTCCATATGAGCTTTATAAATCTCATATTATGGGATGTCCTAAAAGTCACTCCTAGAGTTGTCATACACAGGAAAACTGGGAAATTGTAGCTACATGTACCTTTATTCCCAAAATACTCATCACAAAATTTTATAAAATGTTTACAAAATATTCTCTAAGTGTTGGCTATCTCTTCATAAATTTTTTAATGAATATTTTGGACATAAAGGTATATGTAGCTATAGTTTCCCGTTTTCCCTATCTATGGCAACTTCAGGGGTGAATTTTGGGACACTCTGTATTTATAGAAATAAGAACAATTAGTTAACTTCCTTCCTTCCCTCCTTTTCTTTTCTTTTTTGAGATATAGTCTCACTTTGTCGCCCTTGGTAGAGTGCTGTGGTATCATAGCTCACAGCAACCTCAAACTGTTGGGCTCAAGTGATTCTCTTGCCTCAGCCTCCCAAGTAGCTGGGACTACAGGCTCCTGCCACAATGCCCAACTATTTTTAGAGATGAGGTCTCGCTCTTGCTCAGCCTGGTCTTGAACCTGTGAGCTCAGGTAATCCATTCATCTCGGCCTCCCAGAGTGCTAGGATTATAGGTGTGAGCCAGCACACCCTGCCTGAATTAGATAATTTCTAAGATAAACCATTTAAAATAATCCCATAGAAATCTCCATTAAAAAAGAGTTGTGGTGAATGCTTTAATAGAATAAAAATAACTCATGAATTTATTAAATACTGTGTTTTTCTTATGTAAGACTCAGCTGGATTGTTATAACTAGAAGAAACCATAAGAATAAATGGGATAATAGATTGTTAAAAGTGCTTTATGAATTAAAATACTTTATAACTATTAAATAGAACCATGGGTTTTAATTAAGAGAAATAAGAGATGGTGATCAAGCAGAAAGCTTTTTAAGGAAAGGTCTTTCAGGGTAACTCTTTCCCAGTTAAGGGTGAAGCCAGCCCCCCTGTTTGGGTATACCCCTGTTAAGGCCATACTATCAATGAAAACTTGAAAAAAACAGAGAAAGATTAGCCTCACTCATGGCTTCACTACGTGAGCTCTTTAACATTACACCGCCTTACAACATTTAAAATGACTCATTTCTACAAATGTGTTAAAACTTGTCAAGAATACATCTCCTGGGCTAAGTGAGGTTCAACTAAACACCACAGATTTCTCAGTCACTAGAGAATCTAAAGAAATTTTCTTTCCATGTACTTACTCTACTAATGAGTTCGAATTAGGAGAAACTCACATTTAAAAGGGAGAAAAACACACATTTAAAGAAACGCCTTAGGGTTGTTGAGTATTTAACTTGGTAATTAAACAGGTAGCTGGGAAATGAAGCAGAAAACATTCAAGAGCAATTTCTGATCTAAGATACCTACTCAAAGGTGCGGCAAGGCAGGCACAAGTGGTATTTTCAGAGGATTCAATCAAGTTGAAAGTTCTAACGCCCAAACCCAAAAAGAACAGGGCGAGGTGGGCTGTTCCCAGTGTATGTAGTTCAGCATTAGGGACAACTGTTACACAGAGCCATGCAAATCTCTCTGCACGACTGCTGGGATTAGCAGTACCATGATTTGGGAAGGAAAGTTAGCAGCCACAAAATGGTCCAGCAAGAACTTAATCAGAGACTTCTGTTACCCCTCTTGCTTCTGTGTGACAAGATATAGTGAGAAAAGCTGACTAGCAATGGACAGACCATGGATTTTAAGTAAGAGAAATAAGAGATGGTAATCAAGCAGAAAGCTTTTAAGGAAAGGCTAGACAATCCCAGCAATATTTAATGACTTAACACATACAGACACATAAAGGGCCAACTAAGTCCCCAGGCATAACCATGCCTAGTGACAATTTATAAACAATAGAACTGGTACTCAAAGAATGATTGTACCTCTGAGTTTCAGAGTCATGACCTTTAAGAACTTTAAGGAAGTTTTGCTGAGATTTGTTCATTCAATCAAGGAGGTAGAGTACCTAATCCATGCCAGGAATTATTCTGTCACTGAGGATGTAGCCACTTATCCTTATGAAGCTCTTACTCTAAGAAGGGAGCCAGCAAACAAAACACACAGCATGTAAGTTGGTAGAAGTGTCATGGAGAATGAAGTGGGGCAGTAGTACTGGAGCAGAAAAGCTGCAGGTGTGTGTGGGAGGTGCCACTATAATAAAAGTAATGCCTCTATTTACAAAAGAATAATTAACATGTATCTCAAGTTATCTGAAGATGAGTATTTAGAAACATATAATGAAACACAGAGGTAGAAAATTCCAATCTGGCAAAAGGGAAGAAAGGCCAAATAAAAATGGGGTGAGATCTCCACATCCCACATCCTATCTATTCTACCTAACTCACTGCTGCCTTCCACAGGTCTATGGCGCCTGCCAGGATTCCCTCCAGTGTGCTCCCTCAGTCCCCACCACTACCACTAATGGAGAACTTCATCTCTTTACTCAAGGACAAATGAAAAATACTATAGACGAGTAATGCATCCCAGATTTCTACACAAACATCCTGAAAACCAGAACTTCCTGCATTAAAATACATTATTTTCAGAGTAAAGAAACTTAGAAGAAAAATCACCTTTAAAAAAATGTGTCATAAATTGTGATTAAACAATGTAAATGCAAATTGCCTATCCAAATGAAATTCAGTCCAAGTAGATGATACCTGTTTTTGGTCTGTCTTCCCACTTTCCTACTGTTACTTCCCTGCCCTGCATGTGAGTCTATACTGTACCACTTCAATTATGCTTCCTCTTAAAGAGGATTTTATTACTGTGCAAATATACAAAGGGGAAAAGACTTCATTAAAGTAGCCTTAGTTAAGGATCTTCTAGACAGGGCGAGCTTTAAAAGGCTATAAAAATAGTATTTTGTCATGGCTATCACATAAAACTGAGACTAAAAGAGAAAAACAATTAGCCCACTGGAAATAAGAGTGGTATCTTACTTACCAGGAATAGGAATAATAGGAATACTTTCATTGGGGACCACTCGAGGCGAATTGCTATCTTCCACGTAGAAATGAGCAGTCTGAAAACATTTTCTGTGCATGTAAGAAAAAACATGTGAACAATAACATACACTTTGTCTGAATTCAACATTTTTCAATTATTCTCTTGCAGAATTTCCCAGCTTTAAACATCACACAGGCTGAAGGCCAACCATGTCAAAGTAACAAGATACAAGGAGAACAGTGAGCAGCCTGTTAGAGGAGCCCCAAGTAGCTGACGAGTATTCATTTTATTATAACCACGTGTAACGGGCTAGTTAAAAGTGAAAGGGTTAAAAATGAATTACTTGATACATGAAAACTTGGCACAGAGTAAACTCGCTGCACAAACTGCTAGGATTATCCCACAATATTTCTAGATTTGACAAGATACAGAGGAAGAGTTTGCTATTCTAAACCCACAGTACCAAGTTCAAAACCACACTTCCTACCCCCATCAAATGCAGTCAACAAACAGCCCAAGCACACAATAGTACCATACTGTTCATGCTTAGCAAAGGACCCCAAGCCTCAGCTCTTTAAAGAGGTCAGAGGGCTTCAAGGGGGCAGGCACTCAAAATCAGAGGCCCTTGCCAGAAAAGCACCTGGCACAAGGCCCTAGAGCCCTCCAGTGTCACCTGCATGTCCTTTGTTTTGTTTTTACCTGTACTTCAGGCAGAGCAGGGAGCACACACTGGTCATCATAGGACAGGCAGTGAAGAGAAAAGCCATCAGCAGCTCGCCCAGCCTCTGCCTCCCGATGCTGGCTGGCCCTGAGCTTTCCAGCATCCACGTCACTGCTCATTGTGGCCCTAATGAGCTGCCGGAAGCACAGCCTGAATATTTAATGAGGCTGCTCAGCGTGAATGGCTATTGTGACCAGAGAAGGGTCCCTGTTCATCTGGCGGAGGGGCTTTACAATAGCTGGCCCTACTGCTGGGTCTTTTAGCCAAGCAGGCGGCATCCTTCTGGTGCCCGGTGTCACTGGGCTCCGTCCTCCTCCTCTGGCCTCAAGCGACACTCAGACACCCCACAGCTTTGCTTTTTCTCAGGGCCATACTCCAAGGACTTGAGTAAGTCAATTTTTTCCCAGAGTTGTCCCTTTTATCTAATCAAAATATCCTGGGATGGTTGTACTGGATATACCCTGTTTCTATGAAGCCAGAGAAGGGGATTGTGATGGGCGGGAGGTTTAGAAAAAAAATCAAGCACCTCTATAAATCAAAGAAGATCTCTGGGGGAAGAAGGAAACCTCAAAGTCATCCAGGTATTCTGTCTCCAATAGGAGGGCTGTTAGAAACACACGTAATCAGGAATGACCACACCACACAGTGTGAAGCCCTGTTCTTTAAGCACTGCCTATTTTCAGAAGGAAGACACCTCTAACCATTTGTTCATTCGGACAATCCAGAAGGGATGTGGATGGCCACCCCATACCATTAGGGGATAGTTTTTGTCACTCTCACTTAGCTGCCTTTACCTACATTTGAGAAGAATAGCAGTTAGTTGGACTTAACTACATAGACATGAAATGCACATAATATTATAGGGGTCTGATAGTAACCAAATCTTCTAAATGGAAACAATGGAAATCCATGTGAAAAAAAATGATTCTGTTGTTTGAGATAATAACTTCTATTTCTAAATTAGCCATCTGGTTTCCTACTCTTAGATTCCTTTTTCCCCTTCTTTGCCTCCCCAATTTGTACATTTCCAGAATGCAACATGAGAGTTAAAACACAGGTTATGGACTTCACAAATGAGCTAGGACTTTAACTGCATCATAGCTAAGGAAAATCTGTTTTTGTTGACTTAGAGGATGATAGCTGAAGTACTTAATAACCTAATGATTGCTCTTAAGGCATTCTTTTACAGGGTCATCCTTTAAAAAAAAAACAAGGAAACAACAAAAGAAATAACATCTATCTATTCTAAGACCATACTCACTATGCCTCTTACGTGTCTAAAGTATAAAGCTATTAGGAAATAGTACAGTTATTGGCCAACCTCTATAAAAGTCCAGTAGCTTGGAAAGGATACAGGCACTACATTGATTTTTTTCCCTAGAAGACAGGCAGACAGTTCAGTCAGTCTCTCAGTTTCATGTGGATCTACCCCCTCGATGCCATACTGAAAGCTGCACATTATCTTTGAAAAAAAAAAAAAACAGCAGCGTGTACTGAAGCAAATCATACTCTAGTGCCCCATGTGCTGCTGTTTATAATGGATTTTCCCTGGAGCAAAATAACTCCATGATTGCCAGAGAAAAGCACACAACTGGGGATGAGGGTCAGAAACCTGGGACACGAAGCTCCGTGATCTGCAGCTCGCTGCACGCACATCGGACGCTCTCCTTCCTACCACACAAAGACTCGGGTGGGCAACTTACTCCGGAACTTTCAGCGTAATGTTTCCCTGAGAATAAATGTTTCCCTGGCTTCAGCAAATGTTTGTACAGCACCCACTGCACCGCCTTACATGTGTGGATAATGCCTTCCCTGCAAATGGTGATAATCCTTGAACCCACTCCTGAAGCCTGGCTAAAAGCTAGGGCTAACTGATAAATAACAACCTAAGTAATAGATGAATAAAAATAAAAAAAAACAATTAAGGTCACCTGAAATCTTTCCGCTAATGATCATCATTATTAATATTTGGGGGCACATCCTATGCTTTTCCTTGGCTTAATCGTTGATTGTCCATAGTGAAGGCCTGGGAGAAGAATGATAAATGTGAAACCCACGGCCCCTGTCCTACTGGCTTTTATGTGTTCGTGGGGGAAAATCCACATTAAACAAGTAAACCAAAGGTTTCAAACAGTCAAGAGCTATGAAGAAAATAAAATGGAACACCATGGGTGATAATTGATGAGGGTAACAGAGGGACTTCCCCAAGGAAGAGGCAGCATTTGAGCTGAGGCCAGATTAGGAAGGTCTCGCTTTATGCATTTCCAGGGGAAGACCATTTGAGGCATATCAAGCTGCTTGTTAAGGAGCCTTGGAGCAGAGAGCTTGGGACTTGGCACGTTGTGGGAACTGACAGGAAGCCAGAGGCAAGAGCCCGAAAGGCTACAGAAAGTACGGCGGGAGAGGTGGTCTTGAGCCAGGTCACGTCGAGCCGCAAGGCCACACAGATCCTCCTGGGGCACTGGTGTCTAAGACCAATGGAAAGCCAGGAAGGCCTTTAGTCCACGGAGCAGCACAGTCCAGTTTATCTCTTCAAACAGCTCATTTTGGCTGCTATGTGAGGAATGGAGTAGAGGGTGGCAAGGATGGAAGGAGGAGATCAGGGGGTTGTTGCTGAAATCGCACCCAAATGCAAACAGGCTGTTTTCTGGGGCTTTTATTTTTTCAAAGCAAAATACACCTTTCTCCTTGATAACATCTCCTTGATGTCAGCACAGGTTGACATCTTCTTTACTAATGTTTGCTTAATCTTTCATCTCACAGAGGATACTATACATTGTTGATATTTAATTTATTCCTTTAATAACTATTTACTGTGACCCTCCTCTAGACCAGGGACTGAGCAAGGTAGTAGGTTGCTGTCAACTTTTCATTGGGGTAACTTTGAGATGATCCCTTTGTGTGTACACAGTCCACATCGTGTGTGTAACACCCATGAAAAGCAGCTGGATGGTGTGTGACATATTTTAACTTGCTCATTTTCAGGAAGTCCCTAGAGACATTTTGTTTCTTAACCTTCAATGGTAGCCAAGAATAAAAAGACAACACACGTTTTAATACCTCTGAAGAATGGTACGTTCAGAGACAGGATTGCCTCTAATTCTGAGCTCAGGGGATGGAGACACGGTTTCTGAAAGTGCTGTAGTGTGTCAATGAGCATGCAATTTCAATCTCGTATCTGGGTGCAGTTCTCTTTCAACTAACTTACCCTTAAAATCCCTCCCTGAATGAAACAAGATTTCTAGGATCATGAAAAGCCATTTTCTAAAATTATAATTTCTTCACAATGAACATTTGCTTGTACAAGTACCCTAAAAAGGGAAAACGATGAAAAGGATCATGTCTGAAATGAAAAACTACAAGTTTAAGTACAAATTATAACCCAATGAATGCCCAACGTACACTCCACATTTCCACCTCTCCCTCTCTCCTTACTCCCGACCCTCCCCATGGTGATATCTGTCCCTTTTAAGAACTGAGGGCATTATTTTCAACGACCCCAACTGGCCTCATAATGATCTAAATTAGTTATCTTCTGCTTTCCCTAATCAACATTTTCATCATGTATTTTTCTGACACTTTCACTTCCCTAATTTAGTTTTGGATGGTCTGAGAGAGCCTCTCTTATTAGTAAAGTTCCAGGCAAATGGTGGTTATAATTTTTTTTTTTTTTTGAGACAGAGTCTCACTATATCACCCTTGGTAGAGTGCCGTGCCGTCAACCTCAAACTCTTGGGCTGAAGTGACTGTCTTGCCTCAACCTCCCAAGTAGCTAGGACTACAGGCGCCTGCTACAACGCCTGGCTATTCTTTTGTTGTTGTTGTAGTTGTAGTTGTTTGGCAGGCCCTGGCTGTGTTTGAACCTGCCAGCTCCAGTGTATGTGGCTGGCGCTCTAGCCACTGAGCTATAGGTGCCAAGCCTGTGGCTGTAATTCTTAAACCATCTCCTCAGTTAAGGGAACTTTAAAAATGTCCATACTGGATGAGCACCAGTCCTGGTGATTCTAACTGGGCGATGTGGAACACATCTCCTACGTATTCTGAAAAGGCTCCCCCTCAGGATCCTGGGGTGCACCTTTCCTGGTTAGGAACCATTGTGATAAAAGGAAAGTGGATCCTGAGAGCCTCCAGCACTGTCACTAAGAAGTTGCAGATACTGGTAAAGCATCTTTAAAAGTAAGACTAGAATTTATTGGATACCATGTGGGATAAGAAATAATGGGTAAGCCTTCAAGGGAGTTAACATAATCATCTCAAATACAGAAGAAAATCAGTGTAGTGCATATTTGAATAAGAATTTGAAGGTCTTCTCCATTTCTGCTAGAACCTAAGAAACAGGATGGCATTCTCTGGAGCACAGTGCTCTGC